TCTTTGAACCCCATGTCATCCTGCTCTAGGTGTCCCCTATGAACTCAATCCTATCCTGAACTCTATGTCTTCTTTGAACCCCCTATCCTTCTAATCTTAGTGTCCTCTATGAACTCTACCCAATCCTAGCCTCTAAGTCTCCTTTGAATCGCTTATCTTCCTAATCTTGGTGTTCTCCCTGAACTCTACCCAATCCTAGACCCTCTATCCTTTTTAAACCCCACATTATCCTGCTCCCGGTGTCCTCCACGAGCCATCCCCAGTCGCTATTACTCACCTTAACATCTTGATGCTTAGCATGATGCGTCGGCGAGCGAGCATCCTCGTTGATGCCCCTCTTGGGCGAGTCGGATCCCGTCTTCGTGGGGCTGCACGATCTGATCCGCGCCTTCGGGGTGGGCGATCTGGATCGCTGTTTCCCGAAATCGGCAGGCTGGTGGTTGGGACTGCCGAGGAATTTCCTCTGCGGCGTGGGACTCCTCGAGCGATTGATCTTGCGTTGCTGCTCGTCGCTCGGCTGCTGTTGCTGCTTGCCAGCGGGTCGGTGAGGCGTGGGCGATCGCGATCGATTGCTGGAGACGCTCCTGGCCGCGTGCAGCTGCGTCTGCTGCTGATTCTGCATCGTTCCCGCGCAGGAACCCACGCTCGACGCCGAACTCCTTCGAGTTCTAGGAGGTGATCTGCGGATGAGTAGCCGTTTCACGTTTCGCGACAAGGACGGCTAACCATGCTGACTAGGTCTACTCTTTTGGGTCTAGGCTAGTCTTTCGGATCAGTGTTATCGATTCAACCTTTTGTTGACAAAGTAAAATGCTCGTCGAGATCTTAATCTTTTAACATGTTCACTGCCACATTAACTTTTGTCAAAATTTTGATGAAGCCAAAGTTTTGTCTTCAAATAATTGAAAACTACATAACCTTATTAGAATTCAGGAATCTTATCCGGATTTATTTTATTTAGTTTCTTTAACACCTCATATACCGGAAACGTGGGGTCAACGTGTTCATTTCAACGAGTCTTTCCCCAGAAAAGAAAAGTTTGTCGACAACCGAGTGCAGCCAATTCGATAGCTAACGGAATTGAGATTTAGGGGAGAGTGATCGACCCTTTCACGCATATTTTGCCAGCCCTTTTATGATACGGAGTCGTGTGTTATTCGGTACGCGTGTTACGAAACGTTAGCAATTACAGAATACTCGGTATTGAAATGAAATGTCGGATAGTGTCAGCTCTGAAAAATGAATTGTGACATGGGGTACATAAATTTGGGAGAAAGTGGGTTAATGAATGTTGCGGATACGCACTACTGGAGACTTTATCGTTGGACTACTTCAAAACCTTAACACAATTTTGAGATTTTCACGTCGAGCGTCGCAATAACGAATCATGACTCTGAGTAGTGTTTTCCACTTTGATCGACGCGGTACGACTGTGTTATAATGGAATGGTAAATATGTATGCTCTTAGGTTCATCTAATCTCGCTGATCAACGCCCTGTGTAATTCCCTCTAGCTCGAATAGCATTTTACCCCGACCAAGGCGTGGAAAATGTTGCGCGAATGAGCGACCGTAGACAGATAAATGACACCTTAGAAGCAGAAAATTACTCACCTTTCGTAATGCACCTGCGCGCTGCCAAGGTCGAAGGACCCTCCAGCCTTTTGAATCAACTTCGCTGAGATCATCGAGCGATGCGCTGAAACAAAAAAAAAAAAAAAAAAATGATAAATCATAGGTACAGGATTGCGCAATCAGCCACGTCCGTTTTTCGTTATGCTGAAACACGATTCATTCGACGGGATGCCACCGATCGAGGACTAATTGAAACGTCTCTTTCAAGCGATCGCGAGAGCTGTGGTTAGCGAAAAAGACTGTACAAACGGGTAGAGTTAAGTTACTTAACACCTTTCCTCGGGAAACTGAACGAGTCGAGTGGTATTGGAGTGCCATTTACAGGTGTGCATTTTGTGGAAGAATCATTTTTTAGGGTGCCATTTTTTGGAGTGGCAATTTTAACCTAATCTACTATTCATTAGAATGCAATTTACAAAAGGAACATTTTTAGAGGTGCCAGTTTTTAGAGTACCATTTTTATGGGTGCCATTTTTTGGAGTAGCACTTTTAACAGAATCTATGTACTATACATTAGAATTGAATTTACAGAAGTATCATTTTCAAAGGTACCATTTCTTAGAGTACCATTTTTAAAGGTACCATTTTTGGAATACCACTTTTAAACGAATCTACTCTTCATTAGAATACAATTTACGAAAGTATCATTTTTAAAGGCGCCATTTTTTGGAGTACCATTTTTAAACGAATCCACGATTCACTAGAATACAATTTACAACACTAACATATTTCCTTCTTCTACGTGTTTATTACACATAATTAGCATTAATAAGCAAGTTTCCCCACAGCTAACACCTCGGCAATCATCGATCGCTATTAAGTAGACTTTCAAGAAAAAAACTAGCATGCTAATTGCCCAGCCACGGGACAGAATCGAAAGTCTCGAATCATCTTTATTTTCTCCGATGCTGAGATCATACTTGTTTACCCTATCATCGCGTTACGTTTGTCCCGGCTAGCGTCACCACGACGAACGCTAAACCGTGATCGCGTGCACGATCTATTCTATCCGTTAACGTTCGATCCTGTCGAGTTCGAAAATACACGCGAAGCTGTCGAATCAAACGTCCAAAGTTCGACTTACAAGTTCTGCATCGGCAGGGGTCGTGCTTGTCCAAATAATGGCTCAGCGTGTCCCAGCCACCGCCGACACGCACCATCACGTGACTTCGTAGAATCCTGACGAAGATCAGCACCTTCGTGTCACCGATCCTGTACTTCCCCTCCGACACGCGGATCATTGGGAACTGCGTGGGACACGTGCACCTCTCGACCAAGTCGCGAACCTGGAGCATTTCAACAAAAATGACACGTTAGTTTCAACGAGTCCTCCACTTTGGAAATCCAATTTTCTTTACGTTCCTTGACAGTGTCTTCGACAGAGAAAAAAATTGATTCCTCCTCAAAATAGTAATTTCATACGAAAATAAAATTGTAAAGAGCCTATAATTTTCTCCCGTAGGGCATAGTTTGTAAAATTAAACAAAATCGCAGTAAGATACGAGTAGTAACGTAAGATAAAGTTGAAGAAAATGAGTTTTCATCTGGACCAACCAGGAGCCTCGATAGGAATTCCTCGGCTATAAGTCAGATCGCCGTCTCGGGCAACGCGAGCCAATTTTTCCGTGATTTCTGCGAACGCAACGTTTCGCCACGAGCGACAGAATTCAATCCTGTTTCAGTCGTTAGGACGTATTGTGCTGTTAATTAAGGCGGCCGTCGACAGGAACGACGCGTTCGAATGATACACGATTTTTCTTACCGCGTTGACAACACCGTGCCTAGCTGACCCGTATTTGTTGCACAGGATTTATGGTGCTTGTAATGTGCAGCTGGTATTGATTAGAAAGGCTGTACCCACTGGCACGCATGCACGCGGTTGCATGTTGTTTCGTATGAAATGTCATGGAAGAATGATAAAGTAACGTCTCGCGTATCGATCAAATTTGTTACTCGGATTTCCGATCGAGGCGCGTCCCCTAAAATATTAGTTTGAAATAGAACACAGTTTAGAGATTTAACTACGCGATCAATTTCGCACCCTACGATTCGAGTTCTCATTTGACTCCATTTTCTTGAGTATTGAAGCGTGAGTACTACAATTAATTAATTGCTGCGTAAAGGAATTTAATTTCTAGTTTAGTAAACGATACTTTTTGGTATATTAACACTTTCAGTGCCAAATTACAAATTCTTATTACAATTGGAAATTCACGAATCTTATCCAGACTAGTTTTCTTTGACACCCGATCTCCAGAATGAATTCTTTTTAATTCCTTAGTCAAAATCCCAGTTGTCCATATTGTTTACTAAACTATAAATTAAATTCCTCTCCACGGTAATTAATTTTCCTGGACTCGACTTCCGCGAGCCCCGTTTCACCGCGAGAGCAAGATCACGATTTTGTGGGAAAATTGGCTGCCATGTGACAGGAGCTGGTAAGGAATTTCCGCCGATCGTTGGCAAAGATCGCGAAACACTAATTAGCCACCAGACGTAATCGGGCCGCCTGATATTTCACGTTTTCTTACAACACGTGCTTCAATAAGGGACAGATTCAGATTCCAATCAGAGCGGCGATGCTAACAGATAGAAAAGGTTAAAAAACTATCTCTACGAACGGTGCACGGCGACTATTTACAATCCATTCAACTAATTATTTAACGTTTAATTTATTGCTCCCTACCGAGCGACAACGTTGACTGATCGTTCGAATCCTCTATCCCACGAGATCGATAAAAAGGAATGTCGAGAAACTTTTAAAGAGACGTGGAAGGGGGCGTGGACGCAACAAACGTGGAACAAAGTAACGCAAATGAGAATTTCCGTTGAGGAACTGCGTTTTATTACGGTTCGCCTTCGGACATATGCGTTTTTCCTACTTTTAAACGTGAAGTGAAAGCAGAACTGCGCCCCGACTATCCGTTTATCAAACCGTTGTAACACGACGCGATTTTTTCCAAATGATATTAAATTAACTGTTAATTTCATTGTGCATGCCACGACGCTGCTACGAACTTCCGTTACGTATGTACGTTAATGCATATATTGTCTACACGGAAATACTGTCTGAGCAGGTCTGTTAATGTGCATATTGTCTGCACGGAAATACTGTCTGAGCAGGTCTGTTAATGTGCATATTGTCTGCACGGAAATACTGTCTGAGCAGGTTTAGGATAATTTTTAGTGAGGTGGCAATATTGAATACTGTAAATGTGCATACTCTCTACACGAAAATACTGTCTGAGCAGGTTTAGGATAATTCTTGGTCAGGTGGCAATATTGAATACTGTTAATGTGCATACTGTCTACACGAAAATACTGTCCGAGCAGGTATGTTAACGTGCATACTGTCTACACGGAAATACTGTAGACTGTACTGAGTTGATTTCGGGTAGTTTATGGTAGAGGCGGTAATATTGAATACTGTTAATGTGCATACTGTCTACACGAAAATACTGTCTGAGTAGGTTTGAGGTAGTTTTTGGCTAGATGCGGCAATATTGAACACAATGCCGTCTCTATCGCTCGAGTTGCAACGTTTCTATTCTCAATCCTCCCAACTTCAGACCACCCTCACTCCTAAAATTACATTTTCCAGCAATAAACTTCAAGTTGCCAGTCTCCATTCCCTCAAACCTTTCCTCAACGTTTCTAATTCATAACTTATGAATATAAAGAGTGTCACCATAATTGTTCCATGAAATCTTCTCAATCTAAGAAAAGCCAGGACTCTCGAATCGAATAAAACTCTCCACGGTGGTCGACACGGGATAGATCCAAGCACTAGCAAACAAGTGGCAAAGAAACTGCTCCAAGATTCAGCCAATTATCGTGATCGCGGTGTTAGGGAAAACACCCAGCCCCGTTATCCCGTGGTAGGGAACTTTCTTCTCAGAGTATTAAGTCGCCCGCGTTATTGATTACGCTCTGTTATCGGCGCGGTGAATCGGTTGGGATAAATATATATCATTTATGTGCGAACACCCACCGCCAGGCATTTGACAGCGGAACGGTGAAAATTATTTATTACCAGATCACAACACGCACACACGTACTAGGCCTCCAATCGCGCGTGCAGGGCGTTGGGATTCTTGGTCACGGGCTGTTGGGGAGCGAACGCCACCAGTTCTTCCCCCACCCGTCGCTCCCTTATCTGTTGATGACATTTTTCCCTGCGAATGATTTACACCGCGTTGCGTAAATGCTCGCGCGGACGGTTTCCTGAAATTTCCACCGATTTCCTCGCGCGACACGATCGATCAGCCCTCGAAAATTCACTCTGCGACGTGAATTGCGGGATACCCTGTAATATGAACCAATGGGGGCGGTCTGGCGATCATAGATGAGTATCCAGGTGGTAGCGGGATGAACGATTGAATAATTATTATTTAAACGAGATGTTTCGTTTTTTAATCAATTCTATGAAGACAGGATTGTTGGAATGTCTGTTTTTAAAGATGTTCTTAGTCAACTTGGTTGTTTTTCAGATTTTGAATGTTTTATCCAAGGGATGGAGCTTTTTGGCAAGCTTTAAAAAAGCAGGATTGACGAAATTTCTGTTTTTAAGCAATTTTATTTAAAATGCTTCATCCAAGGAGAGGAAACGATGAACCACAAACTATCGACTATAGTAGTTGATTAGAATTCGAGGTATGTCCGCGTCGTTCCTGTTGACGTCGTTGGTTTGCGTCACGGCGTCCCTTGTTCCAAATATTTAGTTCACGTGGGTGGTATCTCTGACGCTGAACACTTGAGACACGGTGTACATCTGTCCCATAGTAATCAGGGAATTATGCTAATCAGTGGAAGGCTTGTCTATCTTAATTTCACTCGTTACTACGTCATCGACATCACTAGACGAAAGTTTTTCGATGATATAAAAACTGCATTCAATTCGGGGCCGTTTGATGAACGAATGCTTATTTTATAATAATTTAAAATTGATTTCACTTAGAGAATTATATTCTCTAACAAGACAAAGAATGAATGGTATTCATTTTTGCATATGGACATGGTTTTTCACATGGAAGTGTTCAAGCTTCATCTGTCAACATCGGTTCTAATAATAGTAATCTCGCCTGTCGACCTTTCATAGTGCTCGCCTTGCGACACACCAATTGTCTACGACCGGCTAAGTTTGTAGGCTACATATTTCCTGCTTAGAAGTAACGATTCGTGCTACCCAACGTTCTGCGTGAAACCTAAGACACTGCACTCTCGTGTGCAATAATGATTCAACTCCAATTAATTAAACCTTAATAATTGCAATCTTAAAAAGATGAACCACTAATTTATTCGTAGTTCGAGTCACTCTTAGTATTTTTAACGTTTCATTCATTTTATTAACTATATAGGTAAATATTCACGAATTAATATTTAAATTGCAAATATCCTTCAGAATTATATACACTGCAAATATTGTCGTTGCAGGTTTCAATTTCTGATTATACAAAATTAAATTGCAGTTTGACGAACTACTGGCTGACCAACTAGGTCAAATCCCATCGATCTGAGTCCAGATCCGACAGTTTCAATTTTTTCCAGCTGGATGACTGCCTCCAGACTACGTCTTTAAGTATACATCTCAAGTGTACTACTATGTGTGTCGAGCACTTTGCTCACATTCACTATTACGTCTTTCTGTCACCTTCCTCGAGGGCATTCAGACATCTAAAGTTGCTATACGACAAGGGCCGCGTGTGCTCGAACTGGAGGTGCGAACTGATGAAGATTAGGCGTGGGTGGTCATTTTTACAGTAGCTGACTTCAGACACTAAAACTTCAGTTGAGAAATCCTCGTAGGTTAATTCTTCGAGACCGATACCAATTTACTTGTATTCATCGACGTGAGTTACTAATAAATATTTTTATATTTCAACCCTGAAGTGGTAGCTTAAAAAAAGATAACCTTCTTAGCAGAGTTCCTAGATCCATAAATAAAAAAGAAACGACCACATACATTTTTGTAATCAATTCTCAGATAATCACATCGCATTTATACAATCTAAAAGCAATTACTTTCCTTTCACTCATCGACAAGAGTTACTAATAAATATTTTTAAGTTGCGACCCTGAAATAGTATCTTAAAAGGAAGAAGAAGACTTTCTTATCAGAGTTCCTAGCTCTACAAATAATTATAGAATAATTATTTTTACGATTTCCCAGACAATTGTGCGCGGTGAATATCGCTCAGGACGAACAGTGTGGCGCATTGCAGGTGAGCGGACAGGATGAATGGTTATGATGCTATAATGCAAGGCCGCAGCGGCTTACGTAACAGAA